ATACGAAGTCAAAAACTAGATCCGTAAATTATGAGAGTTCAAAAAATGTGTCTAGTTTACTCATAATTTTTATCACGATTTTTAATGACCTCCAACTTGGGTGAAAAAGTCCACAATCACAGACTGGTCCGGATTGTTGTTTGAAATGATAGGCAGTTTTGTAAAAATCACCATAAATTGTAGAAAAATCGTATGGAGATGTGCAAGTATTCATTTTAAAGCTAAAAACCTGAACTATTTGCACCTTGTACAGTTTTGAAAACAAAAATGTTTAAGATGCCCAAAACAGTCCGTGAATGGAGTTGAACTTTTCTGATGAAGGCTGTTAGAAAAATTTAGTTATGTTCTTAGTGTTTTAACTTGTATTCCCCCCCTGAAAACTTGAGAAAACATAAAAATGTAGGGGTATGAACTCACCTTGAGTGATTTCAGTAGATAAGTGTTGAAGAAGAGAAGTGTTCAACCCAAGAACACTTGAAGAATCACTTGAAGATTCGAAGCTCTAACGCTAATATGATGGAGTTTGTGTAAGATATCCATGATTTGAGTGGAAATAAGTGAGATAATCATAAGTAGGATGAATTATACTTACTAAGAGTGGAAGAACACTTGATAATCAGCCTTGAATCTCGAGTTTGGTGGAGAAAAAGTTTGAGAGAAAAGTGGTGTTTGATACTTAGTGAAATGGGAGAAAATGAGAGAAATAAGGAGAGAGGATGTTTGTTCCAGCTCAAAAACGTGGGAATGAGTGTAAATTGGGTGTGAGGGACATTGAAGTGACCTAGGTAAGGTGGGGAGGTGTGGTTAGTCAAAGAGTGGGTGTGGGGTGGTTGCTTGTGACATTGGATAAGGCAAAGTCAACACTCCACCTTTAATAATTCACCCACTTGATTTTTATTATTTAAATAATGATTTTCATCAAAATATGTTTAAATTATGAATATTTAGAGTTTATTATGTTAAAATATAATTTCTGGAGAAAATCCCGCTTTAAAATCATGAAAAACGGGCTTAAAATGTTAAAAATATCAAAAATGGGCTAAAAGTGACAATTTCCCGAAGTCTGGCCGAGGTTCGGCCTTCTGGTGCTGAACCGAGAGAGAGGGAGGCAGAAACCGAGAGGGAAGAAGAAGGAGGGAAGGAACCGAGAGGGGAGAAGAGAGAACAGAGGGGCGCAAGTAGAGACAGAGCGAGAGAAGGGAAGAGACAGAGAGGCGGAACAGATGAGGCGACCGAGAACCGAGGCTCGGTCCTCGCGCCCTTAGCCAACAGAGGCTCGGTTCGGAGATAGAAGGCGAGAAGTCAAAAACCGAATGAACTGTAGTGAACAGTAGTGAACAGTACCTTCGGTTCGGTTCAACAGCCTTCTTCATCAGGAGGGTTCGGTTCGTAAGAGGGTTTCGGTTCCTAAGATCCGTTTTTCGTGTTTTCGCCCCGTTTTAAGCCGTTTTTGACCCGGTTAACGGTCGGAATGACCCGAATGATTCCAAAAAGTTACGGGAAACTTTTGAGAGAGATTTGGGAGAGATTTCTCACACTTGGAGAGATTTGGGAGAGATTTGACATTCTTGGAGAGATTTCTCATACACAGAGATATTTGCGAGAGTTTTCACATACTTAGAGAGATTTGGGAGAGATTTGACATTCTTGGAGAGATTTCTCATACAGAGAGATATTTGAGAGAGATTTCACATACTTGGAGAGATTTGGGAGAGATTTGACATTCTTGGAGAGATTTCTCATACAGAGAGATATTTGAGAGAGATTTCACATACTTTGAGAGATTTGGGAGAGATTTGACATTCTTGGAGAGATTTCTCATACAGATAGATATTTGAGAGAGATTTCACATACTTAGAGGGATTTAGGAGAGATTCAACATTCTTGGAGAGATTTCTAATACAAAGAGATATTTGAGAGAGATTTCACATACTTAGAGGGATTTGGGAGAGATTTGACATAGAGAGAGAGATAGGGTGAAAACGATTGAGAGAGGATCCATGTGTGACAATTGTGAGTGTTTGGCATCGCAATGCATGGTTCGTAAACCCTGTTAAGCCTTGTTTAAGGATCTTACACACTCCCGATGAGTATGCATCATTGTTTTATCGGTTTGGCTCGCCACGTACTACAGTTTTTGGTTAAGGAGATCTAGATGTTCGCACTTTTTGTTTTATGATTTCTCATTAGAATAGAAGTTATGTAGAAGTTTCATAGTGTGAATTTTAGTACTCATGGGCAAATTGAGTCAAACGGTTTGACTTGCTGACTTTAGTTGACTTTGACTTGATCGAAATTTGACGGTTGTCACAGTAAGACCGACTTTACTCTTATACATGTATATATTATTAACTTATAATATTATAAAGTATAAGGGTTGAATTTTAACTTTTAAAATTCTAAGGGCTAACTTGGAATTAAAGTATTCATAAGAGAAAACTTTACAAATTCCAAAACTTGAGGGCAAGTTTTGAAACTATTCAAAACTAATTAATTCCATAACTTATGTATTTAAAGTAGTTTTAATCCAAAAACTCTTCAAGTTCCATAACTTGAGGACAAATTATGGAAGACTTTAAACTAATAAAGAATTAACTTTTTCTTTATTTTATAACTTATGGAATTAATTAAGGTTACATTATTTTTTTTTTCTTTTATATTTATTTAATGAAGAGACTCTTGGTCCTCCATAACTTGAGGACAAATTATGGAGTCATAACTCCAATTAATTAGAACTAGACTCTTCATTTTTTTGTAACCTTTGCCAATTTTATGAGTTTTATGAGTCTTTAATGTGACTCTTCATGTAACTTGAGGACAAGTTACACAAACACATTTTATACTCAACTCTTAGATTAAAATGGATTGAAAACAACTATTTCATTCAACTTTTCTATTAATCTAAGAAACTCATAAGAACAAGATAATTCAAATCAAACTTTTTCATGTAATTAGTCTAACCTTTAAACTAATACAAAACATGAATCTATTGACAAGTATCTTTGAAATTGGATTAGCATGAACATTACCATAACAAAAACAAGTTTATAAGTTCAAAAACAACTTAGGGTAATGTTCCTAGTCCATTTCTAGCCAAAAAACTCGAAAATATGTTGTCTGGGGTCCAACTCATCGAGTGCATGAACACAACTCGGCGAGTTGGATGCATTTTGCCTTGGACTCGTCGAGTCCCTTCATGGACTCGGCGAGTCTGCTGGGCTGACAGCACCAATTTCGATTTTTCAGCTTCTATTGCAGGTATAACAAGAAAACAAGCCTAGGCTCTGATACCACTGTAGGGTTATGAGCATTCTAACACTCCTAAGTGTACATGCAACCCTAAATACCTTGGATCTATGTTTTCTCTATTATACATGCAAATATGAACATCCAAGGTATTATCCTAATCTAGCATACAAAACTATCAATATAACAAGATAGAATACATACCTCTTTGATGTAGAATGTCTTCATGAAGCTTGAGTGCCTAGTGCCCCAAGTGTGACACCTCGAATGGTTCACAATCATCAAAAACACTTAGAATAACTTGAGAGAGTTCTACACTTCATGAAAATTGGCTAGCTCTTTCTTACTCTCACTAGTGGCCGCTTTTCCTCAAGAATAAGATGCTTATATAGCTATACAATTAGGGTAAACCCTAATTGTCATGACTTTCCATTTCCTTGGATCCATGGGTTAAAATACACCATGGAGCATCATATGGGTTTTGGCCCAACTAGATAATCCATGGAGCATTAGCCCACTATACAAGTATGGATGATTTACACAATCAACCCACATATTTAATTAGTCTTCTTTTGATCACTCAATTAATGCTAGATTAATTCTTGATCAATACTAATTAAATAATCTCAGTATTCTTATTATTAATATACTAGAACTTATAATATATTAATAACCATAAGTGTCTTATTTCTCTCATTATAGTCTATCCAAGTGCATGATGGTATGCAACCCAAATGGATCATGCCGGGTCGGGTCAAGTCTTACCAATTATAGTTATGGACTTCGACATTAATCCAACATCTATATGTTTATAATATTGATTTTTATAGATTATAGATGTAATATAAGATTATTTGGTTATGAAAAAAAAACTTATACTTATTGATACGGATATATATATAATAGTTTTAAAATAATCATTAATTAATACCTTTATGAGTTAACCGAGGGTTTATATGTATGCCAAAGGTACTCACTTTTTATTAAATCACACTTTTGCTTTTCAATACACATAAACGAAAAAGGGTGAGTTCCAGTTGCTCCACGATCAAAATTTTGTGGAATATGTGGAGCAAAATTTATTGGAATATGCTACTACTTTTCGAGAAATCAGTAACCCATGATCCATTAGATCATGGTAGGAGCAATTTTAGGCGTGTATTTTTCCCCGCTATATTCAATTTTAGGGTTTAAGGCTTGAGAATGCAGTTGACGGAGAGACCATAGATATCAAAGAAAATTTTGTGAGAGCATAGAAGAGCAAACCACTGTGACGAAAGCAGAGAGCAGTTCAATCGTATTGTGAGAACATTTGACAGTTAATTCTGTTAATCATCATTTCCCCCCATTTCGTGAATGAAACCCAGGATACAGGCACAAATTAGTGTGATAGTATCAAACTTTTTCAAGTTCTTTTCTGTCCTGGTTTCTGTACATATAACAAATTGTAACTCATTACTTTTAAGCTAGGGCTTTAGTATTTTGTTATAAGAAATATAACTGAAAATTGGTATTCCGGTTCGACCAGATAAGCTTCAAAGATGGATTAGAATTTGATTTTTTTTATCAGAGCTCGATGAAGGAGAATAAACTGAAGTTAGTACATCGACTTCTCAATTTGAAAAAGCCAACAATTATCATCAAACACCTATTTTAACTTATGAACTACCTTCTTCTTCACATTAATACATATTAACAACAACTTCCTTAATATTTATATATGAAATTATCTTACTTGGTTTTGTAGGCATACAATGGATCAACCACAAAGGAAAAAAAGAAGTGTGACACTGATAAGGGGAAACCTGAAAAACAAAGGGGATTTGGAAATTGAATTTGATGAGCTAGGCCAAAATATCGGAGAGACCCAATCTCAGTTTAGCAATTATTGTGGAGTCATGGTAAGGACGAGGATTTCTATCCTCATATTGCGTTGGGATGAAGTTCCTAAGGCTGAAATCGATGAATTGTGGTTAAACATTAAGGTATTTTTGTGAGCCTGTTAATTGTACTTTCATTTAATTCATATATATATATATATATATATATATATATATATATATATATATGTATGTATATATTACTAATATTTATTGTACTTTATTGTAAAAAAAAAAAACAGAAACATTGGAATATAGAAGATGATAGGCACAAAAAATAGGTACTAAAAATTTGCAATAAGTCATGGAAGGCTTACAAGAGCACGCTTGTTAATGACTACCTAAAGAAGGGTAGAAATCCGGTACCTGAATATCCATACCTAGATGAGCCTACATGGAACGCTTTTGTTCAACTCAAAACATCACCGAGCTTCCAGGTTTGGCTCACTTTAGCCCTCTTTATATGATAATAGTATATTGCAATGTTTCTAATTCTGTTACTTACTTCTTTCCAGGAAATAAGCAAAAAAGCTACAGCGACTGCAAAGTTGAATAAGTATCCGCCTCGGATAGGCCCACGTGGTTATCGTGGTATGAAACCTCAATGGGAAAAAGAGATGGAGTCTGGCGAGTCAACGGAGTTCCTTAATATAAGAAGTGAACGTGCAAGGAATTTTATCTTTACTAGGTTAAAACGTGATCCCACAGGGATATACTCGTTACCAACTGATCTACTCCTTGGTTGCTAGGTTAAAACGTGATCTACTCCTTGGCATCTGAATTGGTAAGTTAAGTATTCATTTTGTAATGTTATCATTTATTTTAAAACTATTTAGGATTTAATTACCCTTGCAAATTTATTTGGACTAACAGATTGAAAAAGATACCCAATTATCTCATGGAGATTAGTTTCCTGGACCTGGAGCCGATGTGCTTACAGAGGTATTAGGACCCGAGCATCCAGGTTGTACGAGGGCTGTTGGGCATAATGTTGGCTTGAGACAATCCATGCCTAGGGTTGATAAAAAAAAGGAAGAGCCATGATAAATATATCTTGGATGATATTAAGGAGAAGATAAAGATCGAGGTGGAGGCTATGATGGAGGCCAAAATGGAAGCCAAGATAGAAGAGATGAATGCTCAGATGGAAGAGATGAAAACATATATGCAACAGTTTCTCTCAAAGAATGAAGGCATGCACATTACCAATCCGATGTTGAAGAAAAATAGTGTCATCTCGACTGTATCAGATGAGTTGGATGGGATAAAGGTAATCATGTGTTTTTTTTCTTATATACAAGATATTTTATCATATATTAACATATACATTATATGTTTGTAGACTCCTACTGCTTGCGAGTTAGTGATACCATACGACGCGATGAACCAGAAATATGCAAAAGGGATGGTCTTTCCATATGGGAATGGAAAAATACATCCAGTTCCTTTAAATGCAAATCATTTTAGGGTATCCATAGACAAGATCTATGACCAATATGATTGTATCCCTCTTCCCGTCTCGACTGAAGAAGTGAGTAAGTTGTGTGAGGCGCTTCATGGTATAGTTCAGTGGCCAAGGAATGCAATTAAGATCATTCAGGTACATAGAATTATCATTAACTTTGTTTAGAATTAGAGTAATAAACAGTCCTCACAGTTCAAGCCAAATGTTGAACAAGATAAAAGATGTTCCTCTCTACCGGTAGCTGTCGACCCGGTAATTTCTCCAACCTTATTAGTTATTATATGTATATGTTAAATTGTACGAATATGTGATAATCAAATAGCTTTTTAATGTTTGTATAAAAACAAAGCAACCTCGCATAACCAAGAGTGTGCCAATAATCTCGAAGGGTGTTATGAAGAAGACCAAGCCAGCAAAGGAAAGTTTGATACCACATAATTCTAATAAACAAGTCGACCTAAAAAAAATGCCCCTTCTCATGAAAAGAATGTATAGACGTTTGATAAATCGTGATGCGATTTATGTTGAAGCCGAACCCGGGATCCTTGGAGCTTAGAAAATCGAAACATACATTTACCCCGAGGAGATTTTACGTCTATTGAATAAACAATGGCTTGATATTAGTGTCATAACATGGTTTCAAATGTAAGTACAAACAAAAATGTTTAAATTATTTTCGTTTATAGTATTTACATTTATAATGTATATTTTCTGGTTTGTCGCATGTTACATTCAATGCTTGAAACACGTGGTGGGAATAAAGTGAACAGATGTGCTTTCATTTCCCCGAGTGAGATTCAGGCAACAATATGCGAGTCAAATGGTGAGGGTGTTCTAAGTTACATTGCTGATGCAATGCGCTTCCATAAAGACAAACGGTTTTTTGTCGCACCCTATTGGCAAGGGTATTAAATCTTACTGCTTTGATTTTTATTGGCTTTATTTCTTTATTGTGTATACTAAAACGTATTAACATTACTGGGTTGCATTGGATACTGCTAGTAATATGCCCTAACCAAGGCACATGGTATATCCTGGATTCCCAAAAAAAATCCGGATGAGAAGCCCGTGGAGAACTACATAATCATGAAATATGTCGAAGAGTAAGAAATCTTTTTGTATTTCTGACTGTTATTTCTTTCTATGGCTTTTTTAATTTTTTTCCTGATCTTCATTTTAGGGTTGTTGCAAGGCTTAAGGAAGATATCGACACAACACATCCAATGAAATGGACACTTGTCGAGGTAAAAGTACTTCATGGGTACCTTGAACCTGCTTCTTGTTAATTTTTTTATTAAAAATTGATACATGGAACACAGAACTTGTTCCATCATCAGATCAAAACCCTAGGTTCAAAGTAAAAGTTATCTAATCCTTTATTGTTCATATTTGTAGTGCAACCAACAACCATCAAGTTGGGAGTGCAATTTTTACGTCATGAGATGGATGTTTGAGTTCGTGTTGACTCGACAAAATGAATTCCCAAACAAAGTAAGTATCTTAAAATATTTGTGCAATTTGTCTAATATGTTAAATATTCATTATTAAATTATAAATTATTTTTAATTTATATATAGAACAACTGGAACGATAAAAAACCGTTTATGAATTTAGTGTTAAATGAAATCATCATTATGTGGAGTTCAAGGTTTGAGAGTGAGTATTTGAGTCAAGTGCCCCTTTGAAAGGTTAGTTATTCTTACCTAATTGTTTATCATAGCATTTTACTTTAATGTACTTGATTATTGTGACATCCCCATTTTCACGGTCAGAAAAGACCGATTTGTTTATGCTTGTTTTTAAAATCAGAGTACTCTTTTAAAGAAAACAGTTGCGGAATTTGTTCCCAAAACAAGATATGATAATAACTTATCAAAACATTTCTCAAAGAGAATGTATTTTCGTTTAATAATAAAACATCGGGATGTTATGTTCCGATACAGACATATAAGCATAAACAGAACTTACATTTAATTACACAATTGATTTATATCTCCTTTAAATCTCTCTGTGAAATATGGCTTCGTATTAATACCTGTGATACAAAGAAAACTAAGTGGGTCAGGCTTGGGAGCCTGGTGAGCATATAGGGTTTTCATCCCACAATGTCATATCATATATTTATAAATATAGAAGATTCAAACTTGTACAATTTCACCATATAAAGGCAACTCTTATCTCACCCCATCGATCCTCACAACGACACGATCTAAACTCTCGTATCTAAAATTTTATTTTTTTACCTGATCCCTACTCACGGATCTAAAACTATCCTCTTCACTGATCCATACTCACAGATCTAAAACTAAACTTTTTCACCTGATCCATACTCACGTATCTAAAACTACCTGATCCATACTCACGGATCTAAAACTAACCTCCTGATCTGATCCATACTCCCGGATCAATAATTGTACCCAATCCATACTCCCGGAATAAGGACAATTAACTATACCCTAATCCTGATCTGATCCATACTCCCGGATCAATAACTGTGACCAATCCATACTCCCGGACTAGGGACAATCAACTTAGTATTAATCCATACTCCCGGGCTAATAACAAGTTTTATCTCTTTACCTGATCCATACTCCCGGATCTAAAACTAACCTCTTGGTCTAATCCATACTCCGCTGAATAACTAGATCAACAACAACAACATCGGGGCCTCTAATCTGTTTATCACACATCAACTATCTACCAATGCTCTACCCAACATATTAGTAGATAAAATATATATATATATTTTTATACATAGTTTAAAACCTGTATAGCATTCTCATTCAATACCTATTCCACATAACATATGAGGCACATCCACATAACACGTATTTCATAGAGAATAAATCAGATCTATGAGATAGAAGAAAGTGAATATACATTCACACACATAACAACAAATTATACACATAACATGTATTTCGTATAAAATACTTCATAATTATGCGGTAGAAGAAAGTAACCACACACTCACTTGATTAGAAGATGATTGGACAACACTACGACTTGTAGAAGTAGTATTCTTCGGTAGATCTGGAATATCTTCACAAAAACCGGGCTCCTTGCGGGTAGAGCTTCGGCTCGGGATCGCACTTATCGGGATCTTCAGGGCTCGAGAATGATACCGGGGCTTCAGGATATTTCTTGCACGAAAAACAATGCAAAAACGCAAGAAAACGGGAAGAAATGAGCAAAGAAGTCGGTTGCCCTCGACACCCTTTTATAGGGGGGCTGAAACACTAATTATGTTGGGCGTAATTCTAAATTACGTTCGGCGTAATGGGGATAAGAAACCTGACCCCCCCCCCCCCCCCCTTCCAGATAATATCGAATTTATATTTAAATTAAATATCGAAAATATTTAATAAACTTCAAAAATTCATATCTTCCTCATACGAACTCCGTTTTCGACGTTCTTTATATCCCCGCGTAGGTGAGACTACGCTCTACAACTTTCGTTTAGACCCTGTCGGCTAATTTTGACTTTATTTTTATTATTTATATATAGTAGGCCGGGACAAGAAAACTCTGTTATAAATTCATAACTTCTTCATCCGACGTCCGTTTTCACCTATCTTTTTATCGTTTTACTACTATTAACGAGATCTTCGATTCTCGTTTAGATCATTTCGGCTAAAAACCGCTCGATCTCAAATCGAGTATTCGGGCTGCATACCACTAAGTCGAAACTTAGAAAAATCATAACTTTCTCATACGAAGTCAGATTTGGACGTTCTTTTTATGCATGCTCATGGTTTAACGAACTCTACGACTTTCGTTTAGATTGCTAAGGCTAAATATCACTCTAACGTAAATTCACTTTTTACGTCATTCAGCATCGTGTCGGTTCTGCCGCGAAACTTAGACATGTCATAACTTCTTCGTTATAACTCGAATTTCGGCGTTCTTTATATGCACGAAAACCTTATAACATATACTATAACTCAGTTAAGATTATTCATTCTAAATAATCTTTCATCAAAAATCTAATTTTGACGCCTATCGTCTCTAAATTGACTAGCCCGGATCTACGGGCGTTACAATTATCTCCCCTTTAGGATGATTACGTCTCAGAATCATCAATGAAATATGACTTGCATAATGATTCCACACGTTATTTATTCATCTTAGGTAATAATTGTAACTTCTATGCTTCCTCGAAAGAGTATTTAACTCTATGGCTTTCTTGATCGCAGAAGATGCCCAATCTTGCATCTGCTTATTGTACTATGTTGTACTTTCAATCGTAACCTTCAAGTTACCAAATAAGTCCTTATTGTGGACTCCTTCTTCTTCTCAAGATAATTACTTTCATTTATCTATTGTAACAAACCGATGGGTCGTGCTCTATTGACCTCTCATCGCACGATGCGACGCTTAGACTCGGTCTTTAATAAAGTTAAATCCTATAATGGAATATACCTTTCTTCATATTCTAATGTGATATAATCACATTTCAACATGTAGCATTTCTACCTGCAACCTTCTTTTAACAACGAGCGCGACATTATCAATTGCATTAACTTCAACCTTCTGAATTAAGTCGGATGTTACATCTAACTTGGTCCTCTAGACCACGTAACATACTCCTCGTAGTCAAATTCAAATTTAAATATGACCACTAGGGTCGGAACAAGAACCATATTACTAGTCATTACCGAAACAATGGTAATGACATACCAGAATAAAGTGGAATCAATTACTAGCTTCTTGGTAACCTTGTGACTTTCCCTGATCCAAGTGCGAGTCTTGTGCTTCCGGTAGTATATGCATCTACTACCTTTCACACCTACTCATACTCGTTCCAAGTATTGTCCCGCAGTCGACCAAGTCACCATACAAGAAAATCAGACAATCATTCAACACATATGTTAGCAAAACTAGGGTTTATATTAATTCCTTGAAACGATTACACAAAAGTTCAAGTTCACCCTATACTACGCCTCTAGTAGGCTACACTTCCTGATACAGACTTTATATATTGACATGAAGTCTTCATCCTTGAATCCTCGCATTGTTTTCTGCATCGTCGAGGATCATGTGGAATGCTCTTGGCTTTGGTGGTGCATTTGGCTTTATAGCCTCTTCTCTTCTTGGGCAGTTTTGCTTGAAGTGTCCTTCTTCACCACACTTAAAGCAGGCTTCTCTTTTGTTTGGGCATTTGTTGGCGTAATGACCAGTCTTCCCGCATTTGAAGCATGTCATTTCTTTAGAGCATTCCCCAATGTGCTTCCTTTTGCACTTGTCACACCATTGCTCCTTCTTCGAATTAGACTTCAAAAAATTTCTTTTCTCATTAGAACCTGAAGTTCCTTCTAACTTTCTCTTCTCGCTAACTTCAACCTTACTGTTAGTCCTCCCCTTGATCATATTCTCAACAGACTTGGCAACCCAAATAGCTGCCTCTAGAGTAGGTGCCTGACGCACTGGCACCGCATACTCCCAAGGGAGTCCCTTTGCATACCGGTCGACTTTTGTCAGTTCGTCTGGGACGATGCGCAAAGCAAACTCCATCTTGTTTGTGAAGGCATTAGTGTACATGTTGCCTTTCTTCAATATCAGAAATTTATTCTCCAACTCTAGCAGGTTTTGGGCCGAGCAGAACTTGCACTTGAATTGCACCAAGAACTCTGCCCAAGACAGTTGCAGTGGCTCGTTAGGGCTGAGGATCTTCCCTAGAGTGTTCCACCATCGAATGGATCCACCTCGGAACTGACGCACTGCATAGATAGTCTGCAACCTGCCTCTGCAGCCACAAGTCATGAAGGCTAGCTCCATTTCCGATATCCAATCCATAACTTCGATCGAATCTTCCTTTCCAGTGAAGGTCGATGGTTTGCAAGTCATAAAATCCTTATACTTGCATCCCATTCCATCATTCCTTCCATTATGGTTGTTTTGCCTAACTATCGGTGGGTTGGCTTGACCAACAGATCCACTAAAGTTTCCACCTTCCGAGTGCCCTTCATTCACTTCGGGCTCTTCCACTTGTATTAACAGTTCTTCACGATTCTGTTGAAGCAGACGTCTCGTTTCATCCATCTGACGATCCAACATCGTATGAATCATCAATTGTACACCGCCCATTGTTATCGGCTCAGGTGCTGCTGCTATGACATGTATTTGCTCAAGCACTGGTGGTTGATTCCTGTTTTCATCAACATTTCCATCTCCACTTCTTGTTCTCACCATTTTTTTTATCTATACACCGAATAAGGTGAAATTAGATCCTTATTCACGATAGATATTCAAATCAGCCTTATCACTCCGAAACGTTTACATGCTAGTTCTAATATCGTAGACATACACTTAGAATCCTAAACACATAAGGTTTCCAGATCCGGTCGGCAACAGACCATAGATCCGAACAAATAATACCACCAATATAGTTATCACACAAAACATTTAGCACATAAAAACATTCTAGGCATCATTCCTAAAATAAACTAGTGCTTGTGTCAATTTAGGTGTACTACCTAACATATGTTAGACACACTGCTCGCAATCATTACTTAGCATTCTAAGTTTAAGTCTAAAAATTTCCTACAATTTCCTAGTTCGCTTAAACTAATGCTCTGATACCAACTGTGACATCCCCATTTTCACGGCCAGAAAATACCGAATTGTTTATGCTTGTTTTTAAAATCAGAGTACTCTTTTAAAGAAAACAGTTGCGGAATTTGTTCCCAAAACAAGATATGATAATAACTTATCAAAACATTTCTCGAAGATAATGTATTTTCGTTTAATAATAAAACCTCGGGATGTCATGTTCCGATACAGACATATAAGCATAAACAGAACTTACATTTAATTACACAATTGATTTATATCTCCTTTAAATCTCTCTGTGAAATATGTCTTCGTATTAATACATGTGATACAAAGAAAACTGAGTGGGTCAGGCTTGGGAGCCTGGTGAGCATATAGGGTTTTCATCCCACAATGTCATATCATATATTTATAAATATAGAAGATTCAAACTTGTATAATTTCACCATATAAAGGCAACTCTTATACCACCCCATCGATCCTCATAACGACACGATCTAAACTCTCGTATCTAAAATTTTATTTTTTTACCTGATCCCTACTCACGGATCTAAAACTATCCTCCTTACCGATCCATACTCACGGATCTAAAACTAATGTTTTTCACCTGATCCATACTCATGGATCTAAAACTACCTGATCCATACTCACGGATCTAAAACTAACCTTCTGATCTGATCCATACTCCCGGATCAATAATTGTACCCAATCCATACTCCCGGAATAAGGACAATTAACTATACCCTAATCCTGATCTGATCCATACTCCCGGATCAATAACTGTGCCCAATCCATACTCCCGGACAAGGGACAATCAACTTAGTCTTAATCCATACTCCCGGGCTAATAACAAGTTTTATCTCTTTACCTGATCCATACTCCCGGATCTAAAACTAACCTCTTGGTCTAATCCATACTCCGCTGAATAACTAGATCAACAGCAACAACATCGGGGCCTCTCATCTGTTTATCACACATCAACTATCTACCAATGCTCTACCTAACATATTAGTAGATAAAATATATATATATTTTTATACATAGTTTAAAACCTGTATAGCATTCTCATTCAATACCTATTCCACATAACATATGAGGCACATCCACATAACACGTATTTCATAGAGAATAAATCAGATCTATGAGATAGAAGAAAATGAATATACATTCACACACATAACAACAAAATTATACACATAACACGCATTTCGTATAAAATACTTCATAATTATGTGTTAGAAGAAAGTAACCGCACACTCACTTGATTAGAAGATGATTAGACAACACTACGACTTGTAGAAGTAGTATTCTTCGGTAGATCTGGAAGATCTTCACAAAAATCGGGCTCCTCGCGGGCAAAGCTTCGGGTCAGGATCTCACTTCTCGGGATCTTCGGGGCCTCGGGACTTGCTTCGGGGCTCGAGAATGATATCGGGGCTTCGAGATATTTCTTGCACGAAAAACGATGCAAAAACGCGAGAAAACGGGAAGAAATGAGCAAAGAAGTCGGTTGCCCTCGACACCCTTTTATAGGGGGCTGAAACACGAATTATGTTGGGCGTAACGGGGATAAGAACGCTGACCCCCCCCCCCCTTCCGGATAATATCGAATTTATATTTAAATTAAATATCGAAAATATTTAATAAACTTCAAAAATTCATATCTTCCTCATACAAACTCCATTTTCGACGTTCTTTATATCCCCGCGTAGGTGAGACTACTGTCTACAAATTTCGTTTAGACTCCGTCGACTAATTTTGACTTTATTTTTATTATTTATTTTTAGTAGGTCGGGACAGGAAAACTCCGTTATAAATTCATAACTTCTTCATCCGACGTCCGTTTTCGCCTATCTTTTTATCGTTTTACTACTATTAACGAGATCTTCGATTCTCGTTTAGATCGTTTCGGCTAAAAACCGCTTGATCTCAAATCGAGTATTCGGGTTGCATACCGCTAAGTCGAAACTTAGAAAAATCATAACTTCCTCATACGAAGTCAGATTTGGACGTTCTTTTTATGCACGCTCATGGTTTAACGAACTCTACGACTTTCGTTCAGATTGCTAAGGCTAAATATCACTCTAACGTAAATTCATTTTTTACGTCATTCAACGTCGTGTCGGTTCTGTCGCGAAACTTCGACAGGTCATAACTTCTTCGTTATAACTCGGATTTCGGTGTTCTTTATATGCACGAAAACCTTGTAACATATACTATAACTTAGTTAAGATTATTCATTCTAAATAATCTTTCATAAAAAATCCAATTTTGACGCCTATCGTCTCTAAATTGACTAGCCCGAATCTACGAGCGTTACAATTATTATAACACTGCACTTGCATTTCATTTTATACAACATTGTAACTAAAAAAAACTCATCAAGACATTGTACTTTAAAATATGAACCTACTGTAGCATCATACTTTCATATCTTTATCTTATTAGGACATTAAACTACGAAAAATATATATTGTAAAAAATACATTGAATTTGGAGGATCTCTCTATTATGGGATATATGTCTCAATGTATAACAACAGGAAGAAATGGTAGTCGGATGTCTTAATAAACAAATAAATGAAACTATGTTGCTATTTCCTGCAATTAACTCAGTTTTTTCTTCTCATGACAACTATATGTTCCCTTTTTCCATTAGTTGCAACTTTTAGTTTATTTTCTTGTCTTATGTCGCAGGTATGTGATTGCGATTATGGAGTTTGACATCTACCAGATGGATCTATTTGTCTTTTTATATATTTAATTTTTCGTTGATTAGGATGGACAAATTACGTTTATTACAAATGATGTTTGAATTGGATATTGTTAATTTTGGAAATTAATGACTAATCATGCTTTTGTTTTGACTTTTATATACATTATGTTTGTTCATGAAATGTTTGTGTGTATAAATTATTTATAGGCATCTTTCTTTATAGAAAAGTGTAATTATTGTATTTACTTTATGAAATATATTTATTTAGAATGTCTTTTGGCAATAAGAAACTATACTTTATGATATTTTATAAGAAGTACAGTTACATTGAAAAAACAGTATTCAATGTGTTTTGTTAAAGAATTGTTAAAGAATAAGACTACTTTTAAAAAACCTTAAAACCGTATTTTATAATGACTATAGAGTACTAGTTTGCAACCGTACTACATTATCTAAAATACTGTACTTTGTGATGATTATAAAGTACGGTTTTGCAACAGTATTGTATTATCTAGAAAACTGTACTATATGATGATTATAGAGTACGGTTATTACATGTTCGAATAGGAAACCCTCCTTATAGAGTACGGCTGCAAAACCGTATTCTATATGTCATTTTAACAGTATTCTATGTGTTATTTTGTAGTAGTGACCCCTTCACTATCCCTTCATCATCTACACCTTCAATCAATTTAACCAACAACTAAAAAAATGAAACCACAAGAAATAGAGAACATTCTTGAGATCCTCACCCAACAATTGGAAAGTGAGGAACTTTTGCTCAACGACATGGAATAGGAACATCAAAAAATAAAAGAGAAGATCATGGATGAAATGGATAGCAGTCCCAAGTACAACAACTATCTGCAGATATGCAAAATCCTGTTCGACACCAACCATGAGGTGGCGAAAATGATAGAAACTATTCACACCATGTAGAGAAAAGATATACATGATTTGAAGAAAAGCATCAAGAACCTTTCGGAAGACAACTGACCGTATATGTAGCCATTCCAAGGGTTTGCACGAATAGATTTTTTTTTACGTTTTGATTTAGTATGTGCGACTCCATACGCTTCCTTAATGTATTTGGTATTTAATTATCCTCTATGTCATTATCAACTATTGGTATGCAATATATAAGTATTTTAGACGTTGTTTTTTCCCCTCTAGATAAACTCCAACCATTCATGCACATGTTAATAAGAAAATGCCATCTTACTACAAATTACAAAAACAAACCTACACTTATAGAAATATACATTACATTCTTAGAAGAAATATGTTATAATGTTGAATTTAAATTATTTACAATATGTGCACACGCAAAAAAACAGAATACGTAACAAAACTCTTACATACTTTCCTTTTAATTAGATAAATGTAATTACAAACCAAAAATGAACAAACCGTTCGATCCGATAGACGATACACACCTATAATTTTATTGAAACCATAACTACTATAGGCTAGCATATGAACTATTACTACAATTACAAAAACAAGACGCCACATCATCTAAATAGTAACAAATGCACTTTGTAAAAACCTATTACAAAAACAATGACACACACAGAACCCTACATGTCTCCACGTCAATAACCAAAACCAAACTCAGATTTTACATTACTATATAAGAACCCCAACCTCCAAACTTCTTACACGGATGAAGATACAAAAAACGCAAAAAATTGAACAATCAAGCCCCTTCAAGACGTTCTCGTGTCACTCATTGCTTACCTCTGATAGGTAGGCGATCTCATAGAAGCATCTCAAACCAAACTTCAAGAAGGCCTCATAACGGAAGACGATTCTTACAACATCATCTACACACAACAAGAACACCCAAATTACAAGATCCTAAAAACCATCATTGAAGACGCCAAAACTAGCGACATCTCTATGGAAGACAATATATCCTTCATGTTTGGATCAATCCACAAAAGGATTGAAAAATATAAATGTATCATCAAATATGTGTTCGATGAGTAGAAAAAATGTCTACTATAATGACTTCCATGTCAATATATGAATAAATAAAACGTCAATTTTAAGTTCCTTTTGTAAATAGTTAAAGGCATATCTAATCCCTGCAAAAGAGGTACTTCACTATTTAATGATTATTTTTAGTTATTTCTTCGAAAATACTACAAGTTTGGTCTATGCAATTTGTTATAAAAATCCTATTAACTTTAAAGGTTTTCAATAATACAAATAAATAATTATGAACGGGTAGATATAACTTTAAAAAAGACATTATATTCTTTATAAAACAATTCTAAATAAAATGTATGTATATTTCCTTTCTTAGTCCCAAAGAAAAAGAAGAAAAATCATATCCAAAGACCAAAGACCAAAAGAATTGGTCTTGGATTTGATTAAACAAACATCCAATCTCTCCATCGAGTGCTACAAATGGTTTTAAGATCTTATTTGATCAAGCGGACGCTTCCCCAATTCCCAAGTCTTCTATAAACCAAAACCCATTTATAAGACCAGCTGTTGCTTTTCAAAGCAAGAAAAGAAAACCCTCCTCTCAACCCCTCTATCTTCTCTCAATTTCTTCACAATCCCATGATTAAGAATCTCATGGTTTGACTGTACGTTTGCCCATCAATTATGGAGGAAGAATCATCATCATCAAGATCACTCCTCTTGGAGGATTTTGGTCAGAAGGTGGATCTTACCAGGAGAATCAGAGAGGTTTTGTTGAATTACCCTGAAGGGACTACGGTTCTAAAGGAACTGATACAGAATGCTGACGACGCCGGCGCCACCAAGGTCTGCCTTTGCTTAGACCGAAGGTCTCATCCCACCACCTCCCTCTTGTCCCCTAAACTCGCCCAGTGGCAAGGCCCTGCTTTGTTAGCGTATAACAATGCTGTCTTCACTGAAGACGATTTCGCTAGTATTTCCAGGATTGGTGGGAGTGGCAAGCAAAGTCAAGCTTGGAAGACTGGTCGTTTCGGGTGATTTTTCTATCCACAACTTTTACTACAAAATCTCACTCTCTCTATACATCATTCATAATCGATTATGTGATTGTTGTGTTGTTTTGTTATCTGTTTAGGGTTGGCTTCAACTCAGTGTATCATCTGACTGATTTGCCATCTTTCGTCAGCGACAAATATGTAGTCCTGTTTGATCCTCAGGGTGATTTCCTTCCAAACATTTCCACATTAAATCCTGGAAAAAGAATAGATTATGTCACCTCATCAGCCATCTCTCGATACCAAGATCAGCTTTCTCCATTCTGTGCCTTCGGTTGCAACATGAAAACTTCTTTCCCTGGAACTATATTTCGTTTCCCTTTAAGAAACGAGTCTCAAGCAGCAAGTAGTAAGCTCTCAAAGCAAGCCTATTTGCCAGATGATATTTCTTCAATGTTTGAACAGCTATACGAGGAAGCAGTTTTCACACTTCTGTTCTTAAAGAGTGTAGTTTCTATCGAGATGTATGTATGGGATACTGGGATGTCTGAACCTAAAAAAACCTATTCGTGTTCCATTAGATTGAAGGATAAAGATACGGTTTGGCATAGACAGACACTTCTGAGATTATCCAAGTCTATGACCTCTTCAGATGATAAAACTGATGGATTTTCTTTAGACTTCTTGAGTGAAGATATAAATGGAGACAAGAGGGTGGATACCTTTTACATAGTGCAGACAATGGCATCATCATCTAGTAGAATAGGTTCATTTGCTAAAAGTATGTCTAAAGATTATGACATTCATCTCCTACCTTGGGCAGCTGTAGCAGCTTGCATCTCAGACAATTCTTCCAGAGTATGTGTGTGTGTGTGTTTCTAACTATTTCTTATTACTGGAATTTGATTTGTTTTTAATCTTTTTTATGTTTTACAGGGTGATGTTTTGAAAGATGGTCGTGCATTTTGTTTCCTGCCTTTACCTTTGAAAACTGGAATGACAGTGCAAATTAATGGATACTTTGAGGTGTCATCAAACAGACGTGGCATTTGGTATGGTGCTGACATGGACAGAAGTGGAAGAATTCGGTCTCTTTGGAACAGGCTTCTTCTAGAAGACGTTGTTGCTTCTTCTTTTGTTAAGTTACTGCTTCAAGTCCAACATATGCTGGGTCCCACAAACTCGTATTATTCTTTATGGCCTATTGGTTCATTCGAGGAGCCATGGAGCATTATGGTGGAGCATATTTATAAAAACATTGGTGATTCACGTGTCTTGCATTCAGATCTTAATGGTGGGAAATGGGTTTCAGTAATGGAAGCTTTTCTTCATGATAATGAGTTTTGTAAAAGTAATGAACTTGGGAAAGCTCTTGTACAGCTAGGATTGCCTATTGTTCATTTGCCTATTGCCTTGAGGGACATGCTTTTGAAATTTGCATCTAGTTTGAAAGTAGTCACTCCTGATTCAGTAAGGAATTTTTTAAGGAAATCGAAAGGTGTTAATAAAATAAGCAGAGATTTGAAGCTAGTGTTGTTGGAGTATTGTCTTGAAGACTTGATTGATGATGATGTTGTTACACATGCATATGATCTACCTTTGGTTCCTTTAGCAAGTGGTGAATTCGGGTCATTTTCTGAAAAAGGGGTATCTTATTTTGTCTGCAATGAATTGGAATACAAGCTCTTACAAAAGATACCAGATAGAGTAATCGATCAAAATATACCTGAAAACATACTAACCAGACTTACATCAATTGCTAAGATCCCTTCAGCAAACGTACTTCTTTTTGATGTTAATTCCTTTCTCCAGTTATTCCCCAAAATCATCCCTGCTGATTGGAAATACAAAACTTCAGTTTCCTGGGATCCAGAATCAAACCCTAATCATCCTAGCTCAACATGGTTTCATCTATTCTGGAAGTATCTTCATGGCAACTGTGGAAGCCTGTTGACTTTTGGTGATTGGCCTATTTTGCCCTCGGTTTCTGGTCATCTTTACAGACCATCAAGACAGGTGAAGCTGTTGAATGTGGATAAGTTGTCTGACAAGATGAAGGGTATACTCGGTAAAGTGGGGTGCAGGATTCTTAACAGCAGCCATGGTGTTGACCACCCTGATTTGGTCAACTATGTACGCGAAGCTGATGGTGATGGTGTCTTGAAGTCGATCTTTGATGTTGTCTCTTCAAATGATGACATTAAACACGTTTTTCTTCAAACCCTAGAAGCTGTAGACAGGGACGAGCTTCGTCATTTTTTTCTTGACCCAAAATGGTATATTGGGAACAATATGTCTGATACTGAAAGAAGGGCATGTATGAGACTTCCAATCTTTATGGTGTTTAGTGAGGAAGAAAACTATAGCTACTCTGGATTAGAAGAACAAAAGTTTTTACCTCCATCTGATTGCCACAAGTCCTTACTCTGTAATGACTTTGTTAAAAGTTCATCTGGCATTGAAGATGAAATCTTGAATAAATACTATGGGATTGAGCGAATAGGGAAGGCTATATTTTATAAACGATACGTGTTCAATAAGGTTAAAGAATTGGCACCCGAGTTTCGTGACATCATCATGATGTCAGTTTTACAGGAGTTACCACATTTATCCACTGAGGATCCAACGATTAAAGGGCATTTAGCAAATCTTGAGTTTGTTCCAACTGCTAGTGGTTCTTTGAAATGTCCAACAGTGCTTTATGATCCTAGGAATGAAGAATTATACGCATTGTTGGAAGATTCTGATTGTTTCCCTCATGGTGTTTTTGAGGAATCTGGAATTCTAGACAAGCTACAAGGTTTGGGTTTGAAAACATCCGTGTCTCCTGAAGCTGTGATACAAAGTGCACGCCAGGTGGAATTGTTAATGCAGAGTGATCAACAAAGGGCTCATTCTAGAGGAAAAGTTCTTCTTTCTTATCTTGAAGTGAACGCATTAAAATGGTCACCTGATGTTTCTGAACAAGGAACAATGAACAGGATGTTTTCACGAGCTGCAAGTGCATTTAGGTCAAGAAATCTAAAATCTGATTTGGAGAAGTTCTGGATTGATCTAAGACTGATTTCATGGTGTCCTGTTCTTGTTTCATCTCCATTTGAATCATTACCATGGCCAATAGTGTCATCCATGGTTGCACCTCCAAAACTTGTGAGACTTTTTTCAGATCTATGGCTTGTTTCAGCAAGTATGAGGATATTAGATGGAGAATGTTCTTCAACTTCATTATCTCATTACCTTGGGTGGTCATCTCCTCCTTCAGGAAGTGTCATTGCTGCACAGCTTCTAGAACTTGGAAAAAACAATGAAACTGTAACAGATCCTGTTCTTCGCCAAGAATTGGCTTTAGCAATGCCTAGGATATATGCGATTTTAATGAACATGTTGAATACAGATGAAATGGATATTGTGAAGGCTGTTCTAGAAGGTTCTAGATGGATTTGGGTAGGTGATGGATTTGCAACACCAGAAGAAGTTGTGATCTCTGGTTCTCTTCATTTGGCTCCTTATCTACGTGTCATACCTGTTGATTTAGCAGTTTTCAAAGCTTTATTTCTAGAGCTTGGGATTCGGGAGTTTTTAAAGCCGAAAGATTATGCTCAGATTTTGGGGAGAATGGCTAGAATTAAAGGCTCAACTCCTTTAAATTCACAGGAGCTTCGTGCAGCTTTACTAATCTCACAACATCTGGCTGAAGTTCAGTTGTATGAAGAACAAATCAAGATCTTTTTACCAGATGTTTCGTGTTTCTTGGTTGATGCCACTGATTTGGTATACAATGATGCTCCATGGTTGATTGGTTCAGAAAACGAGGCCTCATTTGGAAATCCATCAATGGCACTGAATATGAAAAGAACTGTTCATAAATTTGTGCATGGAAATATCTCGAATGATGTTGCAGAAAAGCTCGGTGTTCATTCACTTAGGCGGATGTTGCTTGCTGAAAGTGCTGATTCCATGAATTTGAGTTTATCTGGAGCTGCTGAAGCATTTGGTCAACATGAAGCTTTGACCACCAGACTTAAACATATTCTTGAAATGTATGCAGATGGGCCTGGAACTCTGTTTGAGCTAGTGCAAAATGCAGAAGATGCAAAAGCTTCTGAGGTGGCGTTTCTTTTGGACAACACGCATTACGGGACTTCATCTGTTCTTTCACCCGAAATGTCAGACTGGCAAGGGCCCGCTTTGTATTGTTTCAATGACTCGGTTTTCAGCCCACAAGATTTGTATGCAATATCAAGAATTGGTCAAGAAAGTAAACTGGAAAAACCATTTGCAATTGGAAGATTCGGTTTAGGGTTTAATTGTGTTTATCACTTCACTGACATTCCAACTTTTGTATCCGGGGAGAATATTGTCCTTTTTGATCCTCATGCATGCTACTTACCTGGAATATCTCCTTCACATCCGGGGTTAAGAATTAAATTTTCCGGAAGGAAAATATTGGAACAATTTCCTGATCAGTTTTCTCCATTTCTTCATTTCGGATGTGACATGCAGAACTCATTTCCTGGAACACTCTTTCGGTTTCCATTAAGAAATGCTAAAGCTGCTTCAAAGAGTCAAATTAAAAAAGAAGCATACTCCCCTCAAGATGTTACATCACTATTGACATCTTTCTCAGAAGTTGTCTCAAAGACATTGCTTTTTTTGAGAAACGTGAAGACTATCTCCATATATATGAAAGAAGGAGTTGGTAGTGAGATGCAGTTAGTTCATAGAGTCCATAAGGATAGTATTGGTGAACCTGAACGTGAAGCTGAATCCAATACGTTTCAGCTTATGGTTAATTTCATGCATGAACATAAAGAAGGGTCAGAGAAGAATCATTTTTTTGATAAATTGAAAAGACCGAATGACACGGGGTTGCCTTGGAAAAGTCAGAAGCTTTTGTTGACCGAGAAAAGTCAATCCGAAGAAAAGTCAAATGTATGGTTGACTAGTGAATGCTTTGATGGTCGACAAAGTAAAAGAAACAACAAATCTCATAAGTCTATTCCATGGGCTTGTGTGGCATCATGTTTGAACAATATGGAAGTTGAAAAGACTTTTGAAGGGCAGGCGTTTTGTTTTCTACCACTTCCAATAAATACAGGTCTTCCTGTTCATGTGAATGCGTATTTTGAACTATCATCTAATCGAAGGGATATATGGTTTGGGAATGACATGGCAGGTGGAGGGAAAAAACGGTCAGATTGGAATCTTTATCTTCTAGAAGAAGTTGCAGCTCCAGCTTATGGTCACTTACTTGAAAAACTCACATCAGAAATCAACAATTCTGATTCATTCTATTCCTTTTGGCCAACAACAGCAACATCAGGACCTTGGGTGTCAATGGTGGAAAAGCTTTACAAATTTGTTTCCGATTCCGGCCTTCGTGTGTTGTACACTAAAGCAAGAGGTGGTCAATGGATTCCAACCAAACAAGCCATTTTCCCTGATTTTACCTTTGACAAGTCAAACTTTCTTGTTGATGCATTATCCAATGCGGGATTACCCATGACAACAATTCCTAAACCTCATGTGGAAAAATTCATGGAGTTTTGTCCGACTTTGCATTTTCTGACTCCTCAGTTACTAAGAACTTTGTTGGTTCGCCGGAAACGTGAATTCCGGGATAGGAATGGAATGATCTTGGCACTTGAGTATTGTTTGCTTGATCTAACAACCCCAATTCAATCTGACAACTTTTATGGTTTGCCACTTTTGCCCCTTTCAAATGGTTTGTTTACAGTTTTTGAGAAGAGAGGATCGAGTGATAGAGTTTATGTCACACGTGGTGATGCTTATAATCTTTTGAAAGATTCTGTTTCAAACCACCTTGTGGATTCTGAAATTCCGGATGCTGTTTATGAAAAGTTATGTGATATGGCAAGAAGTGAAAGTTTCAATGTTTCCTTTCTAAGTTGTCATTTGCTTGAGAAGTTGTTTATGAGGTTACTTCCAACAGAATGGATGCACATGAAGGAGGTGATGTGGGTCCCTGGGCATCAAGGGCAACCTACTTTGGAATGGATGAGGTTGTTATGGAATTACCTAAATTCAAATTGTGATGATCTTTCTGTGTTTTGTAAATGGCCGATTTTACCAGTTGGAAACAATCATCTGTTACAGCTTGTGGAGAATTCATATGTGATTGAAGATGATGGGTGGAGTGAGAACATGTCATCATTGTTGCTCAAAATAGGGTGTCTGTTATTGAGACATGACATTCAGTTAGAACACCCACAGTTGAACAAATACGTGCAGTCTCCATCAGCAAGTGGTGTTCTAAATGCATTATCAGCAATTTGTGAACCAGGGAAAATAGGTGATCTTTTTGATAATGCATCAGAGGGCGAGTTGCATGAGTTTAGAAGTTTCATTCTTCAATCCAAATGGTTCTCTGGTGGCTTACTTAATGCATCACATATCAACATCATCAAACAGATTCCAATGTTTGAGTCCTTCAAGAGTAGAAAGCTGGTTTCTTTAACTAAACCTACTAAATGGCTTAAACCAGATGGCATTCTAGAAGGTCTTTTGGATGATGACTTTATTCGCATTGATTCAGAGAAAGAAAGAAAGTTATTGAAAAAGTATTTAGACATCAGAGAACCTTCTCGAGTCCAATTTTATAAAGGCTATGTGTTCAATCGTATTCCAGAACTTGTCTCTGAGCCTGAGATTCTCTTGGCTATTTTTGATGAAATTCGTGTTTTGATTAAGGAAGATAGCTCCTTCAAGAAAGAACTTATGATGACTCCCTTTGTCCTTACCAATACTGGATCTTTGCAAGAACCACAAAGGTATATTCTAAATACATTTCCATTATATATATATAATACAGTTTAGTGTTTGATTCTAGTGTAAAGATGATTTATCTTCAATCTTTTACAGGCTATATGATCCTCGTATACCCGAGCTGGAAAAATTTCTGCACAAGGATTTGTTCTTCCCTTCTGACAAATTCTCTGATCCTGAAACTTTGGAGATGCTAGTTACCCTTGGACTAAAGCAAACCCTAGGCATCCAGGGTTTGCTTGATTCTGCTAAATCGGTGTCTATGTTGCATGATAAAATGGAACCAGAGGCTGTTGTAAATGGAAAGAGACTACTTGGTTGTTTAGATGCATTGGCACTCAAGTTTTCAACTGAGGAAGTGGAATTCAGTTTTAATGAGTTTGGGCCAGATGATGAAGCAGATAACTACTCAAGAAACACTCCTGAAGCGTTTCATGAAGATTATGTAGGCAAGCTGTTCGATGAAATGCCAGGAGACGAGTTTTGGTCTGAACTAAAAGCCATCAGATGGTGTCCTGTTTCTGTTGACCCACCTTTGACCGGACTTCCATGGTTAGTGCCAGCTCAGCAAATTGCAGCACCGGATACTGTCAGACCTAAATCACAGATGTGGCTCGCTTCATCCATGATGCATGTACTTGATGGTGAATGTAATTCCATGTTTTTACAACGTAAGCTTGGGTGGACAGATCGGTTACATATAAAAACTTTGACCAGTCAACTCATTGGTCTATCCAAATCCTATGCTGAAGTTAAGTCAGACCCTGAATTTGAAGCTTCTCTACAAGAGCATATGCCAGTTCTTTACTCAAATCTGCAAGAATATGTTGGCACTGATGAGTTTGACCTTCTTAAAGCTTCTCTCAGTAATGTTCCATGGGTTTGGATTGGAGATGATTTTGTAACTGTTGAAGCTCTTGCTTTTGATTCGCCTGTAAAATACAGTCCATACTTGTATGTTGTTCCATCTGAATTATCTGTTTTCAGAGATTTGCTTCTTGCTCTTGGAGTCCGGCTTTCTTTTGACCTTTTTGACTATGCTCATGTTCTACTTCGGTTACAAAAAGATGTGAAAGGGTCGCCACTTTCAGAAGATCAGTTGAGTTTTGTCCTTTGTGTTCTAGAAGCTGTTTCAGATTGTCAATCAGAGAGATCAATGTTTGAATCTTCCAACACACCATTGTTGGTGCCTGATTCTCGAGGGCTTCTCATGGCAGCAAGGGATGTGATGTATAATGATGCACCTTGGTTGGACAATAATACCCCTCTGGGAAAACATATCATACACTCGAGTATCAGTCATGATCTGGCTAACAGGCTAGGGATTCAATCCCTTCGTTCCATCTCTTTAGTCAGTGAGGAAATGACAAAAGATTTACCCTGTATGGACTATGCAAAAATCCATGATCTTCTTGAATTATATGGAGGGAAAGATTTCTTGTTATATGATCTTATTGAGCTTGCAGACTGCTGTAAAGCCAAAAAGCTTCATATAATTTTTGACAAACGCCAACATCCATCACAATCATTGCTGCAACAAAATTTAGGTACAAAGTTGTCAGACTATTTACTTTTTACTTTATAGCCTATTGAATTTAAAAAATTAAAAATAAATTTTTTTACAGGAGATTTTCAAGGGCCTGCCATTGTTGCTGTACTGGAAGGAGCAAGTTTGAGTAGAGAGGAAATATCTAGCCTCCAGTTTCTTCCTCCATGGGGTTTAAGGGGTGACATGCTTAATTATGGATTAGGGTTAATGAGCTGTTATTCTATAACTGATCTTCCTTCAGTCGTCTCTGGTGGCTTTTTATATATGTTTGATCCTTGTGGTAAAGCTTTTACTCTACCTTCATCAAGTCATTCTCCAGCTGCAAAGATGTTTACTTTGACAGGTATATATTAGTAATAATTCCGTTATCTTTCTGTTAATCAGGTTAGTATTCTGTTATGATTCTGTTAATTACAGGTACCAATTTGACTGAGCGATTCCGTGATCAGTTTAGTCCCATGTTTATTGGTCAAAAAGTTCCATGGTCATCAGACTCTACAGTTATACGAATGCCTATTTCATCAAAGTTCATTGAAGATGGAACTGAGTCTGAGTGGACAGAAATAAAACTGATATTTGAAAATTTCATTAAGCATGCCTCTAGAACACTCGTATTTCTGAAGTCTGTTTCTGAGGTAACAAGAACTTATATTTCAGACTATCTAGTTATTGGTTATAATATTTAACACTTTTTTTTTTTTTTTTTTTTTTTGAATCAGGTGTCTTTATCAACATGGGAAGAAAAAGAGCCACAATCTTCACAAGATTTTTTAATCTATGTGGACTCATCACATGCAGCATTAAGGAATCCGTTCTCAGAAAAGAAATGGAAGAAGTTCCAGCTATCAAATTTATTTGGTACCTCAAGTTCTGCAGTCAAATTACATGTTGTAGATATAAATTTGCATCAAAATGGAACAATGGTGGTGGACAGGTGGCTTGTTGTACTTAGCTTAGGTTCTGGACAAACAAGAAACATGGCTCTTGATAGGCGATACCTAGCTTATAATCTGACACCTGTCGCTGGAGTAGCTATACACATTTTAAGAAACGGACATCTTTCTGAAGCACAATCATTTTACTCCATCATGTCCCCTCTCCCTCTCTCTGATAGCATCACTATGCCTGTAACTGTCCTAGGTTGTTTCCTAGTACGCCACAACCGAGGTCGTTACCTTTTCATGTATCAAGATTCAGAATCACAACCAGATGCAGGGAATCAGCTGATTGAAGCCTGGAATCGGGAACTCATGACATGCGTCCGTGATTCCTATGTTAGATTAGTGTTGGAAATGTTTAAAATAAGAAGAGATCCATCCACTTCAACATTGGAATCAAGAGCAACACACGCGATTCACATGGCATTGAACGCATGTGGCACTCAGATATATTCGTTTTGGCCTACTTCTGAAGATGCAAATGGGACAAAATCAAAAACCCTAAAAGCTGACTGGACTTGTGTGGTTGACCAAGTCATCAGACCGTTTTACTCTCGCCTTGTTGACCTTCCTGTTTGGCAGCTTTACTCTGGGAATTTAGTCAAAGCTGAAGAGGGGATGTTTCTTTCACAGCCTGGAAGTCGAATGGGTGGAAACATATTACCTGCAACTGTTTGTTCTTTTGTAAAAGAACATCATCCCGTTTTTTCAGTCCCATGGAAACTCGTGTCTGAAATTCAAGCAATTGGGTTCAATATACGAGAAATCAAACCGAAAATGGTTCGTGATCTTCTTAGAATGTCTTCAACACCAATTGCTATTCCATCAATCGATACTTACGTGGATGTTCTTGAGTATTGTTTGTCAGATATTCAGCTTCTTGACCCATCTGAGGATCCGGATCACAATTCAGGACCCGGACTGGATCTGGGTCGGGCTCCGGGCCCATCGGGTTCTACTTCACCTAACCCAGGTGACCCGATAGAAACACTTGCGAGTTTAGGAAAGGCTTTGTTTGATTTCGGGCGAGGGGTTGTTGAAGACATGGGTCGGGGAACGGAAAGGTACAACACGGGCCTGGGCCTTGGTGGGCCCATTAGAGGCCCGGACCGTAGGTTTGTAAAAGTAGCATCTGAGCTTAAAGGGTTACCATGTCCTACTGCAATAAGTCATCTTTCTAAATTGGGTGTAACCGAGCTTTGGGTTGGAAACAAACAGCAGCAATCGTTAATGGCCCGTTTGGGTTCGAAATTTGTTCATCCGAATATTTTGGAAAGACCGATTTTGGCCCAAATCTTTACAAATGATAATTTATTATCATTACTTAAACTGAAAATCTTTTCGCCTCGTTTGCTAGCTGATAACATGAGGTCACTTTTTCATGAAAATTGGGTGAATCATGTTATCAACTCGAGTGTAGCTCCTTGGTTTTCATGGGAAAATACACGTGAAGGTGGGCCAGCTCCTGATTGGATAAAACTCTTTTGGAGAAGTTTTAGTAATTCGGAAGATCTACCTCTCTTCTCTCAATGGCCACTAGTTCCTGTATTTCTGGGTCGACCCGTTTTATGCCGGGTCAAACATTGTAATCTGGTATTCATCCCGCCCCAGTTACCCAATTCAGAAAATCCGGATCTTGAAGATGATGATGTAGCATGTTTGGATTCGTTGCCTGAAGAGATTCGGCCATATATGTTGGCATATAAAGTCACTGATAAAAAACACCCGTGGTTATACTCTTTGCTTAACCAATGCAACATACCGATAGTTGACACTGCTTTCATGGAATTTACTCCTCCACGCAACTATTTTCCGGTGGCTGGAATCTCATTGGGCCAAGCCATAGCCGCCAAGCTTGTCGCCGGAAAAGCCGCCGGTTATCTCCCGGAGCTCACCTCCTTTCCACCTTCCGATTGCAACAGCCTGTTCTCCCTATTGGCTTCTGATTTTTCATCAAATGGATCCGAATACACACAACAAGATCTTGAAGTTCTTCGTGATCTACCGATTTACAAAACTGTTATTGGAACATACAGAAAGCTGAATATCCAGGAAACATGTATGATCGGATCAAATACGTTTCTCAAACCGTACAACGAACATTGCATGTGGTACAACTCGGAGTCTTTCGAGAGTGGATTGCTTCGAGCTCTTGGAGTGTCCGAGTTGCAAGATAAACAGATATTGGTTAGATTCGGGTTACCCGGTTTTGAAGAGAAGCCTCATTCAGAACAGGAAGATATATTGATATATCTTTACATGAATTGGCAAGAACTCCAACAAGATTCTTTAGTCATTGAAGCATTAAAAGAGACCAAATTTGTAAGAAGTGCTGATGAACAATCGGGAGATTTACACAAACCAAAAGACTTATTTGACCCTGGTGATTCGTTGCTAAAATCGGTTTTTTCCAGTGAGGTTCAGAAGTTTCCAGGGGAGAGATTTGTTTCAGATGGATGGCTTAATGTGTTAAGAAAAACCGGGCTTCAAAACACGAGTGATCCGGATATTGTTCTAGAATGTGCTAGAAGAGTCGAGTTTCTTGGAGCTGAAAGTATGAAACCTTCTGGATTTGTTGATGATTTTGAGGAGGATTTTTCAGACACAAGAATGGAAGTTTCTTTAGAGATTTGGTCATTAGCCGAGACTCTAGTGAGTGCAATATTTGCTAATTTTGCTGTTCTTTATGGGAACAATTTCTGCAATACACTTGGAAAGATTGCATGCATTCCTGCAGAAAAAGGGTTCCCTTCTATAAGTGGAAAGAAAGGTGGTAAAAGAGTGCTGTGTTCTTACAGTGAAGCCCTTGTGTTGAAAGATTGGCCCCTTGGATGGAGTGTTGCTCCCATTCTTTCCAAACAAAGTGTGGTTCCACCAGAGTATGCCTGGGGATCTCTTCAGCTGAAAACCCCTCCTCCTTTTACTACAGTTTTAAAACACCTTCAGGTTATGCATCTTCTCTTTCTTTTTGATATTATAGGGTTTAATGGATTAAGATGTTATTAATCAATCAAGCTAATGAAGTAATGATGATATCATAACAGGCTATTGGAAGAAATTTCGGTGAAGACACTCTGGCTCATTGGCCTAATGAATCAGGTTTAATAACTGTTGAGGAAGCTTCTTTTGAGGTTTTTAAGTATCTTGACAAGATTTGGGGGACACTGTCTTCCTCAGGTAATAAGTCATGTCTCCATTAAGTCCATTAAGTCAAAAAGAAACAAGAGAATAACTTTATTATCTTTTCTTCTTGAATGTTGTCAGATTTATCAGAGTTGAAGCGAGTGGCATTCATTCCCGCTGCTAACGGGACCCGTTTAGTGACTTCAAGTTCTCTTTTTGCCCGTTTGACAATAAACCTTTCACCATTTGCATTTGAACTTCCTTCACGTTACCTCCCATTCGTGAAGATTCTAAAAGAACTTGGACTTCAAGACACGTTATCAATCTCTTGTGCAATGGATCTTCTTTCAGATCTTCAAAAATCTTGTGGATATCAACGTCTGAATCCAAATGAACTCCGTGCAGTGATGGAAATACTACATTTCCTCTGTAATGAAACCATAGAGCTCCAGAAATCAGATAGATCTAAATGGGAATCAGAGCTGATTGTCCCTGATGATGGCTGCAGACTCGTTCATGCAAATTCATGCGTTTACATCGATCCATACGGGTCCCGGTATGTGAAGTATATCGATTCTTCAAGGCTTAGATTCGTTCACCATGATGTTTCAGAAAAGTTATGTTTAGCATTCAGCATTCGAAAGCTTTCAGATGTTGTTGTTGAGGTAGTACTAAACTACTAAAAGTCTAAAACCAATCAAACTTTATCTTTTTTTGTTTATATATAAACATGGTTTATTTATTTTCCAGGAGCTTGATCAAGTTGAAAACTTGCATACCCTTGAAGAAATCGGGTCCATTTCATTGGCATCCATCAGGATAAAGCTGTTAAGCACATCATTTCAGGTTGCCATATTAAGTGTTCTCAACAGCGTACCTTTAACCACTTCCAAAACTCCAGATTTGCAGACTTTACAACAATCACTCGAATCCATTGCTAAAAGACTACAATTCGTTCAATCCATCTACACACGTTTTTGGCTCCTTACAAAATCCCAAGACATCACACGTTCATCAAAAGATTCCATAATCCCAGAATGGGAATCCGGATCCAGATCCAGTCATCGATCACTTTACTATGTTGACCGGTCAAACACCCGGTTACTAATCGCGGACCCACCAAGTTACATTTCAGTCCTTGACCTCGTTTCAATTGTCGTGAGCCATGTTTTAAGGTCTCCGGTCCCGCTTCCGATCGCTTCCTTGTTTCTCTCTCCGGAAGGTTCCGAAACCGCACTTGTGAACATCCTTAAACTTTCTTCCGATGTAAGGGCGACAGGTGGTGTTGGTGGGTTTCTTGGGAGGGAGATACTTCCACAAGATGCAATGCAGGTGCAGCTGCACCCATTAAGACCTTTTTACAAAGGTGAGATAGTGGCGTGGAGGAGTCAAAATGGAGAAAAGTTGAAATACGGGAAGATTCCGGAAGATGTAAGGCCATCAGCAGGACAAGCACTTTATAGATTCAATCTTGAAATGTCTCCAGGGAAATTGGAAGCTGTTCTTTCTTCACATGTCTTCTCTTTCAGAAGTTTATCAATCGGGAACAATAATAATAATATGATCCATGAAGATAATAGTAACAATGTGGTTGATACTACACATAAGCATGTTGAGAAACCAGAGAGTTCTAGTTCGAGGAATCAGGTTTGTGAAATTAGTTTGTTACCCAAGTTATATAATCATATAAAGTTTGCTAATTTATATTCTTTTTTTGATTTTTTTTTAAAGAAACAGAAACAACCGATTAAAGAACTGGAACACGGGCGTGTGTCGCCTGAAGAGTTGGTACAAGCGGTACAAGAAATGTTGTCAGCCGCCGGAATCCGAATGGACACAGAGAAGCAGTCGCTGCTCCAAACAACGTTGTCACTCCAAGAACGGTTGAAGGAATCTCAAGCCACACTTTTGCTGGAACAGGTATGCATATGTGTTTTACTATATAAATTAAATAGCCGCATTGCATTGTGTTGACTGGTCAAACGCTGATGTGTAAATAAGTGTTTTTGTGGAATATTTATAGGAAAAATCGGATGTGGCGATAAAAGAAGCAGACACAGCGAAAGCAGCATGGCTATGTAGAATCTGTTTGAGTAACGAGATTGATATCACTTTGGTTCCATGTGGACACGTGTTATGTCGTCGATGCTCGTCTGCGGTTTCTCGGTGTCCGTTTTGTCGGTTGCAAGTTTCAAAGACAATTAAAATATATCGGCCTTGAAAGCAAAGCGTATAGTAAGTAGTAGTAATGATGATTGATGAGGAGTACATAATTCAATTATTTTTTAGGTCATACCATGATGTTATTGCGTATACGTTTTTGTGCATAGTAAAACGTATCGTTGTGTATGGGATATGGGACGTGGGAAGAGTTGAATACTCAATTTTGTATAGTGGCTTTCATCGGTTAACATTTTGTTTCGGTGATGGAAAAGGAAATGTTTATACATCCTTAATGCTGGGTTGCTTTTTTTCCATAAAAATTAACCAATCGAGGAGGGTTATTGTCGAAATCGGGATTTTGATTGTAGGATGTAAGACCCTACGATCCTACAAGCCAAAAACAACGTGGATAAATATATTATGGGTTTTGTAGCAAGATTTGGACTTAACACCTTTTTTTGGGGGCCTATATTTGTTAACTCTAAATTTTTTACTAATACTAGAAACTTAATCTCACATGTGACTTCAATTATCCAACATATAGTCTTCAAAATTTCTCATGTCTAATCGAAATCGTGCTAAAGTTTTGTCCATTGAGCTCGACATCACGTATTGCACGAAGGCCTCAAAACTTGGTGAGTTGTCCCATTTATATAGGGGTGTTCATCTTTGGATATCCAATGGTTATCTATACAACCAATTCAATCTAATCATCCGGTGGATATTGGATAATGAAAACCATTCTAATCATATTCATTACGATAGACAAACTTGGCCGATCTTATCAAATTAGAAATTGAAAACTGGATTGGATCAGTTTTATCTATCAGATATTTCATGTTAAATATTCAGTTTAACCGATTGGGATCTATCTAGTTTCATCCAGTTGGTTCCATCCAAATTTTATCCAATTTATAAATTATAAAATTTATCTTTATTAATAATTTTAATAATTGATATTACATACTAATTGTATTATAATTGGATGAATATTATAGTAATTGGATTTTGATTGTCATACAATAACCACCAATCCAATTGGATATTGAAATTTCAGAAAGATTGGTATGTGTCTAATATTCAATTCAAATGTGATTGAATATCTAATATGTGTCAAGCGTTTTGAATTGGATCGTTTTTTTTTTCTACACATCTCTAGTTATATGATGGTTGACAATTTTTTTATATGTTGTCTTTTGTTTTCATTGTACCTTGTGTAAAATTTTATAAAAGTTTATCACCATGGTCCATGTTAACAACTTTTTATATAACTTGTAAACCGGTAAATAAAGATGTATAATAATCTTAAACTTACAACTATTTTAATTTTGATTATTTTAAAGGACAAAACACCATACCATACTAAAAACTTTGCTTAACATGTCTCACATCATCTCATGCAAAACATTATTATCTCTATTCAAAGCAATAACAAGTTTTCATATTGTGTTATTCGTAAAATTTTAATCATATTTATTATTTTGTTCCTAAATAATCATGTAATAATAATAATTTTGATGTTAATATGGATAGAATAAAGATAAACTATAACTATTTTTGGATAAATTTCAATATATTTTCCCATTATTTTAAGATGTCATAATTCATAAATAAAATAATTTGGTTTTTCATTATAGGACAGTTCATCTCACAACCAATCGGTTGAAGGTCACCGCCGATCACTACATGGCAGGCGTCTCCATCGCCGCAGAATGGCAACTTCTCGGCGACAAGTACTACCGAAAACCAGAACTCTACCAATTACGATGGAAAAACATCGATCTTGCTCGAAACAAGGTCGCCTGCGCCCCATTCGGTGGTCCAATTGCCGTCATTCGAGACGAATCCAAGATCGTCCAGCTCTACGCCGAATCCGCCCTTCGTAAACTCCGAATATTCAACTCCTGCGGCCGCCAAATCTCCGAGACTGTCTGGAGAAACCCCGGAGGACGTTTGATCGGATTGTCGTGGACCGAGGAGCAAGTATTAGTCTGTGTGACACAAGATGGCACCGTTTATAGGTATGACATCCACTGTAAGATAATTGAATCAAATGTTAGCATGGGTACGGAGTGTTTCGAACACAGTGTGGTTGAGTGTGTGTTTTGGGGCAATGGGGTTGTGTGTATCAATGAGGCTTTCCAGTTGTTCTGTATTCCTGATTTGAAAAACCCTAAACCCTGTAAGCTCGCTGATACGGGGTTAGAGGAATTCCCCCTTTGTATGGCGGTGATTGAGCCGCAGTATACTATGTCCGGGAATGTGGAGGTGTTGCTCGGAGTTGGAGATCATGTGTTGTTGGTAGAGGAAGATGGAGTTCAGACTGTAGGTGATGGATTAGGAACTCTGCAGAAGATGGTTATTTCACATAATGGGAAATTAATGGCGTCATTCACTCACGATGGTCAGCTTCTTGTGATGCCCACTGACTTCTCAAGCATCATCTTTGAGTACAGTTGCGAGGTTTGTTTTATGACACTCTTGTTGATACAAAAAACCATATTTATCTTGTATTATGTATGGGATGCCATTAACATCTTGTTATATACAGTCTACCCTAGCTCCAGAGCAACTTGTTTGGTGTGGAATGGACAGTGTGTTGCTGTATTGGGATGATATGCTTCTGATGGTGGGCCCCTACGGAGATCCAGTTCGCTATCTTTATGATGAACCCATTATCCTTATCCCAGAGTGTGATGGAGCTAGGATATTGTCCAACTTAAACATGGAGTTTCTTCAACGGGTCCCAGCTTCTACTGAATCTATCTTCAAGATTGGGAGCACAGAACCAGCAGCTTTATTGTATGATGCTTTGGATCATTTTGACAGGAGGAGTGCAAAGGTAAGGTGTCATTTTGATCTTTGAAATTTGAATTAGACTTTACATTTCTTTCTTTCTTTCTAAGTTGTAATGTTGATTTATTCCATTCCAGGCTGATGAAAATTTGAGGCTGATAAAAACATCGTTGCCTGAGGCTGTTGAAGCCTGTGTAGATGCTGCAGGACATGAGTTTGATCCTTCACTACAACAGACACTACTGAGAGCTGCAAGCTATGGGCAAGCGTTTTGTAGGTAAGTTTTTCATCTGTTGGTAGAAGATACATATATTGTGATAATATGGTGAACAATCATCTATATATTTGATTTTTCCACTTTATTGAATGCAAGTGAAGTATTTCATGTAACATATGTTGGTCTAAAACTAGTAATCATCCTTTTTCCATAATGTTAAGCTTTCTTTAAGAAATGAGAGAAGGTGATAATGTTAAGCTTATAAATGGTGGTGGTGGTTTTAAGTTTTAAGTTTTTCTAATTTTTGTTAACGATAGTGATATCCAGTTGGCTTTGGCAGCCAATTTCAACGTGAGAGCATTCAGGAGATGAGTAAAACACTGCGTGTTCTAAATGCTGTTAGAAGCCCAGAAACAGGGATTCCATTAAGCATACATCAATACAAGGTCTTTTTTTTTTTAACACCTAAACATAATTCACTTTCACAATTATTCTTCATTACATTAATGCTTTTAATCTGTTCCTTAGTTGCTTACACCATCAGTTCTGATTGGTCGATTGGTTAATGCCCACCAACATCTCCTGGCACTCAGGATATCAGATTACCTTGGAATGAACCAAGTAAGTTTTATGTATTGTTCTTCACTAATCATTATCATATATGATGTGACTTGTTCAGTTTTGATTGGTGGATTGATTCTTTTTTTTTAAATCCAGGAAGTGGTTATCATGCACTGGGCTTGTTCAAAGCTTACAGTATCATCAGCAGTTCCTGATGTTACTCTCCTTGAAATTTTACTTGACAAGGTTGTGCTCAATTAAGTTTTATTATATGATGATTTATAATTTTGTTACACTTTCAATGATTACTGACTTTTTGGGAATTTTCAGTTAAAGTTGTGCAGAAGCATTTCTTATGCTGCAGTTGCTGCCCATGCAGATCAGACTGGCAGGAGGAAATTAGCTGCTATGCTTGTTGAACATGAACCTCTCTCCTCAAAGCAGGTTTAGGGTTTAAAATACAAGATATGAAAAATTTATTGAATGATATATAATATGATTGAATATGATCCATATCAACTTTTCAGGTTCCTCTATTACTAGGCATTGGGGAAGAAGATACAGCCTTGACTAAGGCAACTGAAAGTGGCGATACTGATCTTGTTTATCTTGTTCTCTTTCATATATGGCAGAAGGTATTTATTGTTTTCTTATTTAATTAATTATAAATATAATACTAAAATTAAGTTCTCAAATTATTGACTTGTATAGAGACCAGCATTGGAATTATTTGGAATGATACAAGCTAGACCTATTGCACGCGATCTATTCATACGTTATGCAAGGTAAAGGCTATATAATAAGTTTTTCTATTTAATTTCATTTGAGAATATGAAGAATTTTTTTTTTTTTTTTGATGAATGTGTCTATTATTTCAGGTGCTATAAGCATGAGTTTCTCAAGGATTTCTTTCTTTCTACTGGTCAACTTCATGTAATTGGTTATGTTTTGGGTGTTGAAAAAGTTTTGATACACACTGATATTTTTGATTTGGTAAAACAAAAGTAGAAGTTAAGTGTTGTTGAATGTTGTATGTAGGATGTTGCCTACTTGTTGTGGAAAGAATCATGGGAATTAGCAAAGAATCCAATGGCAAGTAGAGGATCTCCACTTCATACTCCACGTATAAAACTCATTGAAAAAGCTCAAAACCTTTTTGCTGAAACTAAGGAACATGTTTTTGAGTCCAAGGCTGCTGAAGAACATGCAAGATTATTAAGGTATGGCATGTTTTAAAAGTCCAAAAAACTCTTAACTTACTAAATATTAATTGTGTCATTGTCTTTTTTTTTTTATATATTTATATGCAGGATGCAACATGAGCTAGAAGTAAGCACAAAGCAACCAATATTTGTTGATTCAAGTATCAGTGACACAATCAGGACATGCATAGTATTGGGCAATCATAGGGCTGCACTCAGAGTCAAAACAGAATTCAAGGTCAAAGATGAGTCACTCACTAACTGAATTTTATGAGTGTTTGATTTAATAATTTAAGCAGTGCACTTATATTATGGTATAATTTCAAAATCTTGAATCAGGTTTCAGAGAAAAGATGGTATTGGCTCAAAGTTTTTGCCTTGGCAACGATCAGAGATTGGGATGCCTTGGAAAAGTTTTCAAAGGAAAAAAGGCCTCCAGTTGGTATATAATCATTTTGTCGAAGTTTTTTTTTTTTTTTTTTTTTATATGTATAAATTCTGTATGAGAAGTAATTGAATTTTATAATATTTGGTGAGATAGGTTTTAGGCCGTTTGTGGAGGCATGCATTGATGCTGAGGAAAAAGGTGAAGCTGTGAAGTACATTTCTAAGCTTGCAGATCCTCGTGAAAAAGCAGAGGTTTGTATATATTTCTTTATAGTTTTGGAATATAAATTAAATATGTGGATTTGGAGTTAAAAAAAATAAAATATGTTTGTGGGTGTTGTTGACGAATGACAGGCGTATGCTCGAGTAGGCATGGCAAAGGAAGCTGCAGATGCTGCATCACAGAGTAAAGATGGGGAGTTGTTGGGGCGTCTGAGAAACACATTACAAGATTCAACAGCTTCATCACTTTTTGATACTCTCAGGGATAGACTATCCTTCCCAGGTGTTTCCTAGTTGTCATTATCATGCAGTGTGAGAGTGTGTGTGTGTGTTTTATGAGTTGTTTTGCTATATTTATTTCAATAAAAGGGAATCTTGATGTAAAAATTTGTTGTATAAACATATTATTTATTGTAAGTTGAGATTTTGGGCTTGAGTGTGATTTGCAAAATTTTTGTTTGTTTTCTTGATTCGTGTCTTATTTATATTTTGGCTTGAAATCGAACTCATTCAATAGAAGAAGGAATTGATTTTGGATTTTGGTTTACTTACTAATTTATAAACAGTTAGATACAACTAGTTATCATCAAAGATCAAATACACTAAATCACGATAAAGATCCGAGCTAGGCATTACTATTTTTTTTTCTCTTCTGTAGTTCCTTGCTTCTTTAGTAAGTTTACGTAAAAGGTATATAAGAACAAATTGGTAAGCTACAAAGAATGTAGTTAGTAACCTACTCTATAATTAAAATGTGTTTAACTATCATCAGGTACTCAACTTGCGATTCACCCATAAGGCAAGAGTAAATACCATATGGCTAACATTAATGCCACATGGATACCTGTAGACACCACATGAGCATTGCCATTATTAAATAACCAAATCTATATCTATATATATCTTATGAAGCTAGTATTTTTCATTGAACCTCATGCATTTGAAACTCCCAAGGCCATTCACCTTTTATTTTTACTCAAACAATATTCATTTGAAACCCTTATTTAAATGAATACCACTCAAAAATCTCTTAATTTTGATTAACTATTTAAAAGTATTATAACTTATATAATATGTTTAATAAACAATTAATGTATAGTCTACTATAAAAGACAAATCTCTTTGAGTAGAAACACAAAAACAAATCACATACGAGTCTCTTAGTAATGATTAACTATTCAAAAGTATTATAACTTATATAATATGTTTAATAAACAATTAATGTATAGTCTACTATAAAAGGCAAATCTCTTTGAGTAGAAACACAAAAACAAATCACATACAAATTCCATAAAGAAAACAAGCTTAAAGGTTTTTGTGTTGGTTTGAAGGCTTTTGACCATTTTCGAGTCATATTATTATGTTAAAGTTTTTAATTTGTAAGTTTGTTATATATATATATATATATATATATATATATATATATATATATATATATATATATATATATATATATACCTTGGTCTAAATATTCTTTTAAGATAATCATTATTGTCGTGGTTAAAATTTAATGTAAATTAGATTTGATTCATATTATCAATCATATGTTATGGAATGTGATATATATACTATTTAATTAGATATTATATATATGTTTGTATATTTGTGTTGCTTCAAAGAAATAATTAATTAAAAATCATGGATATGTCATATTATCCATGTAAGTCTCTTTTAAAATGCAAATTGTCTATCTTATCACTTTATATCTTAGTATATGTTTAACATTTTAATTATAATAGTAAGTGCTTTTTAAAACGTTTCTTTCACTTAATAATAATAATTTCACTTAATAATAATAATAATAATAATAAATGGTAAATTAGAAAAATCATGAATATTTTATATTATCCATGAAAGTCACTTTTAAAATGTAAATTATCAATCTTATCACTTAAATATATTTTTCATATTTGAGTAATAATATTTAGTGTTTCTTAAAAGTTTTTTTTTAAATTAATAATAATAAAAAGTTGTTTAAGTTAATAAACAATCATTTTAAATGATAATAATATCAAACTAAAAATTATGTAACGTTAGCTACAAATAAATTGTATTTTAATGACCATCATTATTGAAATTAAAAAATAATCACATAAGTAAAAAATTTAATTAATCAATCATAATATTTTTTATAAATAATACTAAATACATAATTATTTAATTCTATTAATAAAGAAGGTGGGTTGATGTCAATGAATAATATTGTTCAAAATAGTTAAGATTATATATATATATATATATATATATATATATATATATATATATATATATATATATATATATATAATTTAGTGTAAAAATATTACGTCAAAATTAATGTCAATAAATAACCATTTTAAACATTTATTTTTCAATATTTTAACAATCTATTTTTAAGCTGCGACGTGCAACGCGCGCGAATTCGTCTAGTAGAAATATATTGCCACTTGCATTGGAATCGTAACGACAAATCATCAAAGAGATATATGTTACCACGTGCATTGAATATCGCACCGACAAATCACCAATCGTTGCCACCTATCGCACTAAAAATCACATATATGTTTCCCGTTCTATACTGAATACTAACACCCAATCTATCTATCATCATAAATTGCCAACAAATCAATATGATAAATACAAATATTCATCACACTGGTAGCTATTAAACTCTATGGTCTATTAAGGCTTAGTATATCAAAACTACTGCTTGTTAATCTAGTATCAATTAGACACAATTTTCTACTACACCAAGTTATTAAATAACTTCATTAACTATTTATCAACAATCCAATATTAATATTAGTTAGCACCAATGAAATTTATACACTAAATTGATATTTCCTTAAGACACCACTTATAAGGCTCACAAATACACCCAAATTAGTCACAAGATACCCCTATGTGACGCTTTTCATCAATTAATAGCATAAAATGGATATTATGTATTACACCATAAAATACATTACACTTAAGAAATATTTAATCTCTTTTGCACCTTATACATAGATAATATCAAAAGTACTATATATGGTATATTACACCTCATTGGATATAACCGTCAAAAGTTAATACATTGCATATATCACATATATATAACACTTACCGTAAATATTTAGGGAAATCTAAAAAAAATCAATATTTTGGATCATTTACGGTTTACTCCCAACATTTATATTTTGAATAGAAAAGTTCCGATTATCTAATTTTATACGATAATCTGTCATTTTGTGTTGACAAAAAGTATTGTTTCATTAATTTGGACAAAATTTAAAATAATCGGGAATTTGTTGTTCAAAAAATAAAATTTAGGATTAAACCGTAAACAGATCCAAAATATTGAGATTTTATCGGAGATGTAACATTCGGATCCCGAGAAGAAAAAGAATGTGACTTTTGGTCTTGGATTCATCTAGCAACTCTTCTTATCATCTTGTTGTACATCTTCTGTACTCTTGTGACATGTGGAGGTGACAGTTGGTGGAACATTCTTTTCTGCTATCTTTTCAGGTTGTCATGCGAGTTTTCTTACCATCTTAGCGGGTCGAAGACACCAAGGTCGACCTATTGTATTATTTGTGTAGAATGTAAGCTATTATATGACTTTTACTCATGTGATTAAATGATATATGCATAGATACAATCTAGACTCGGAGTCATTATGGATTCAGGGGTTGATATGGACCCGACACAACCATTTGCTGTCATTTGGGATTGATACGGACCTGAAACAGCCACGTGTTGTTATATTATATGTATGATGTATGTGATATTTTAGGAAAACTCATTAAGCCTTGTGCTTACAGATTTTTTTATGGTATCAGGTACTTCCGGTACAAAATGGAAGGGTCCGACGTGATGGCTCATATCCTCCCCATGACTCGTCGAGGTCAACAACCTCCGAGTCCTTTTCCTGTCCAACTCACTGTGTCACCACTCAGCTCACTGATCGGAGTCTTAACCAGAAGAGGTTGTGGGTTTTGTGCTATGACTCGCCGAGTCCAAGAACAGACTCGCCGGGTCCACGGTAATCTTCATCAGACTCGTTGAGTTGTTCTTCCAACTCGCCGAGTCCAAGCTCATCTTCATATGACTCGCCGAGTCCACCCATGCAACTCGCCGAGTCTCTTCAGTCCTTTATCCATACAAAGACTTTTCGAGCCATGTAGGGGCTCCAAACTGTAGATCCATTCTTGTAGGGCAAAACTCTCACGTAAAGTTGCAAACTTTACGTGAAAACAAAGGGCTAAAGGCCCAACTCAATCTAGAGCTAAGGTTTTAAGACAAGAATGCTCACAAGCATGCCAAGGGCTGATACTTTCCGACTATATGGACCAAAACAAGCCTATATCTGAAGTTGCAACCTCATATCTAGTCCCAAAACCCGAAATGGATTCTAAACATGCTAAAAGGCCCCAAGTCATCACCCAAGAATAGATCTAGAAGGGAAAAGCTCAAGGTAACAACTTGTTACCTCAGAAATGTGCCCAAGATGGAGTAGATTCCAGATCTCCATGGATCCCTTGATGCTTTACACTTAATCTACAAGTCTCTTTTGCTAGAATCTCCTTCCAAAGCTTCCAAGCTCACACTCGATTTTAGGGTTCACTGGCTATAAAGGGTAATAAGGAGGCTGAGGGGAGGACATAAAGTCCTTTAAATAGGATGCAAACCTTAAGATTAGGGTTTTCTCTTCCCAGCACCAACTCGTCGAGTCTAGCTGCCGACTCGGCGAGTTGGTCACTTAATTCGCGATCAAATCCTACTCTGACTTGACGAGTAGCCTCACCTACTCGCCGAGTCCACCCTCCTAATAACACTTTACACCCCTGAACTCTTGCTTTTGAACTTGGGATGTTACATTTAAGGTCCTTTCTATCCCCTTGTAAGTGTTCTAGGTCCTATGCATGGCTTAGTTAGGAGTTTAAGGCCACTCTTTGGCCACAAATTAAGGTTTGCGGCCAATGAGGTGTGTACGGCCGTAAACCCTCTATGCTCATGTCTTTTGGTCGATTTTTAAGCTGAAAAACAAGCATTTCTAGTAGATTACAAACATAGGAAGTAGTTACTTACTATTAGGAAGCTTGAAATGAGATTTTTAGCCACCAAGAACTAGTGTGTGTTCTTGGTGAAAGATGAATATCTAGAAAATGATGAAATTTATGAGATAGGGACATTGATTCACCACTAGATAGAGGAATAAAACACAATTCAAGGTGGGAAAATACTTACATCTTTGAAGGTCTTGAAGAAAATTCGATGGATGTAGAGAGAGAGTAGAGAGAGAGAACTTTTGAAGTGAGTAAAGTGGTAAATGAAGGCCAAGTATTCCTTTTATAGAGAGGAGTTCGGCCAAGAGGTGGGTGGGGGTGTATGGCCGTAAACTCGAGTTTGCGGCCGTACACTCCTCTCTAACGGGTGTTTGGCCCGCATGTTATGTTATGACTTATGAAAACGCGATCTTGGATGTAGCACCTAGTTTCTGGTATGTAA